TCTCCGACTCAGAATGGTACCTCAAAATATCTGTTAATAGCTGTACTTTTTATATAAATCTTCGGTGATTCACAAATATTCAAGTTGGTGTTATTTGTGGAGCTTGGAATATTCTCATAAATACCATACCGAATTAAAGAACTTTGAATAGTAAAATTACGTCTTTTACCGACTTAGGAATGGTCATTTATTGCGATGAGAATATTGAAGTTATCATAGGCATATGTTTTAAAGCCTGTGCACCGTGCAAATTCGTACCTGCCAGTCTCCATAGCCTATCAGTACAACCCTGATGACAGCTGCCAGAAGCAAAACAAGAGCCAAACTGAGCGAGCGCATGTTAGTGATAATACTCCTAATGACTACGCGTTATGAATTCACAGACTAAACCTTTTGACGACTATAAAGGGTCCGCAAATGTAAAGTACACCGCTATATCACAAACACACTTCCCCAAGACCTACATATGTATTTTTTCAACTTTTCAACACCAGTCTTTATATTTACAAATTGCACTCTTCACACTGTTGACTGTTTACAGTCTTCGGCCTTCGTGATTCACTGATTCATCAGTGTTGATGGCGATATCCTGATATTTACATATATAAAAAGTTAGAACTTGGAACTTTTTGTAAAAACAAAAATAGAACTGAGTCAGATTTTTTCTTCTTCTTTTTGTTTTTCCTTGCTAACCCAGATGTGACATACAAGTTGACGACCAAGAGAGCAACACTAATACTGGGATACAATCATCGAGCGTTTACTCGTTCAAGTCGCGCTAAGCATATCCTACTCGTTCTTTTGATTGGACGATTCAAACTGAAGACATAATTACGTGTTCAGACATTCAAGAGAAACCGGTAAAAGGTAAAAACTGCTCAGTTAGGGCTTCGCAGAACCTTCGCTTTGGGAGGTTTTTGATACTTCAGCCTATGGCTTGCCCAGAGATTTTTTTTAATGAGAGCCCCACGCTCCCAGGGATATTAATTTAGTGATCGTAAATAGCTGGGCTGGTATATGACCGCACTTTTCGTTATGAAGACATGTCGCGACAGCCTGAAACAAGACATGTCCGAGACATGGCGTCTTTAATAGGTGTCTGTTGAAAACTGGTCAAAAAATCCATTTGTCCAATAGGATTGCCGTATTTAAATTCAACCAATAAATGAGGCATATTTTCAAACGAAAAAGACATCGACATACCGCGAATTGCACCTAGAAAATTCAATGAAATGTACCTCTGATATTAAACTTCGTGAACAGGACAAAATATTTTTGTTTTTTAGGGGTACAAATCGGGCCGAAAATTAAGAAGCGTTCCAGATTTTCTGTATCCGGATTTTTATTTAATCCCAATATATTTTGGCACATTTCCAGATTATTTCCTAAAGACCTGCAAAGGAGCTGAGGCCTTAGTACATGCAGAACATATTCTATACTTAAAGAGTCTAACACTACATAGGAATCCTCCAAAACACGATTATTGCGTCTATAAATGCATAATTAGTAAAAGTTTCAATGTTATTGCGTACGAATATTGTCAAAAAAATACCGTTTATGCATTCTTAGAACCGTAATGCAAGTTACAGCTGCTAAAATCGAGAAAAAGTGTGTTTACGCCATTTGATGTGCCATGCAATCGATTGCACGATGAATCTCAATTCCAAAACTTTTGGTCAAAACTCACTACATATTCACCCACAAGTGATTACAATAACATTACTATAGTTTGATTATGCTTATATAAGTAGAACGAAAGTCTGAAAATAATAACGAAGCAATATATTTGAATACTCACTCTATAGGGATGTCATTGATGGGCACGTATGCACTTGAATGGTGCTTTTGAGCAAGTATAATATGCCCTCTGTACCACAATGATAGGTTCTGAACTAATAATACTTGTATTTATTATATATGAGAACCCTCAGAAGGTTCAAACTGCTAATACGCGACATGGAAATCCAAGATTTGACATGGTCGAAAAGTGCACAATCCTGTTCATAAATCGATACAGAGCTGTATGAACCAGTAGAGCTATCAACTTGGCGCCTTTGCAAAATTATTTTGAAATGTTTCTAGAAAAAGTCTAGAAAAACAAACTAGGATTGTATCTAAAACCAGATATAGTGAATGGACGGGGTGTTAAACAAGCAATGAAACTAATCAGTAAAACACTAAATATTTACTGGCAGACTTTAAAAAAAAATTTACTGTCAACACTTGACACTCGACCGACACAAGTTCCAGCGGACAGAACCCCCGCCGCAAACTCAAACTGAAAACGAAAGCCGAGTTATCCCGACTTTAAGTTTTGGGTCGGTCTCATGTTTTGGGTCTTACTCTTTCGGCTATTTGCCTTTCGGTCATTACTCCTTCGGCTTTTCGGTTAGTCCCTCGTCCACTCGTCTGTCGTCATATATGGTCTTCATCAGCTGGTCGCAATGGCGGCGTCCACTCAAATCGTCAGTATGTCTGACGTCATAGTCTTGCTAGGACTTAGTTTTTCTTACCGGGCCTTTTCGGGCCCCAGTATCTGGTCGAGGATAGCTCAGAGTAGTCAACCTGCAGTGTGAATCCCTGAACAGCCCGGGAATCGAACCCGGGACTTATAGATTACAATTCAACGCTCAAACCAACTGAGCTATCCCGCCTGTTGTCACCTTTTCAAAATATGAAATAAACACTTCTCCACACCATAAACATCAACGACCCATAGTACCAATTGCGTTGCAGAATAATTTACCTTGGCACCTACACCGGGAGGTAACTGCTTCATTTCAAATATATTTTGGCCAACTGAGATGCATTTTAATTCGAACGCTACTGCTCGTGCACTGATCACACTCCGCGTTTACACATTTAATATGTACGCATGTATATGTTCAATCACGCTAAAGTTATATAATTCGACAAGAGCTATTCAATTCTACATCTCAATTGAGCATCGATTATTGTGATGCACTCTTGTCATACAATTTTACATA